TTTTTCTCGTTCTTCTATTGTTTTCAGTTTTACATACCACATATCAGTGAAATTATATGGTTCTCTACTTTTTCTGTCTGACTTATTTTGCTTAGCATTATAATTTCAAGACCCATCTATGTTGGTGCAAATGGCATTATTTCATCTTTTCTTATGGCAGAATAGTATTCCATTGTGTATATATACACCACAACTTCTTTATCCAATCATCTATTGCAGGGCACTTTTGGTTGATTCCATGCCTTGACCACCATAAATAAAGCTGCAATGAACATCAGAGCACATATATGTTTACAGATAAATGTTTTCAGGTTTTTTGGATAGATACCCAAGAGAGGGATTGCTGGGTCATATGGTAATTCTATTTTTAATTTTTTGAGGAACTTCCACACTGCCTCAATAGTGGCTGCACCAATCTGCATGCCCACCAATAGTGTATGAGGGTTCCTTTTTCTCCACAACTGCATAGAAGAAAACATAGGTACTAAACTTATGGACCTTGGGTTCAAAGAAAATTTGATTTTAAGGATTAGAAATATCTATATTTGCATCATGTACCCATACTTGCTACCTCTCTAATTTCTATAAATAAATCCCTTGAAATTCAGTTTTTATCCATAAAATGGGTATAATACTTTTCCACCTTTCAGATTCATTGCAAAGATTAAATAAGACAAAATGTGCATATTAACTAACTCACAGCAGTGACTCAGCAAATTATGGATTTATTTCTATCCTCAACATCAATCAGAAGCATAAGTTACTAGATGTATTTACCAAAATTGCATACAACACTTTCCTCTCCATAAAGTGGTTTATGAACCTTGCTCACATTGGAGATGGATCAAACAATTAACACTGTTGGAGTAAAATGAAGTCGTGGACAAATGTTACACTTATCCTCCTCCATGGTCCTCCACACTGAGTGCTTAATCACAGTCAGGCTACAGTCCTCCACATTGAGTCCTCAATCACAGCAAGGCTCAACCAACTGCCTTCTTTAGAAATGGCTCTGAGCCAGGCTGTCCTGGCAGTCCCAGCCCACTACCAGTCAGCTCTGGCCTTAGACACCATTCAACCTCACTGAATCCTGATGTCATGGTCACAAAGTGATGTAGTGGCAGTGCCACAGCAGACTTTCTACAAGATCATGTATGTGCAACAGCACTAATCAAACTGAAGCAGCATCAGGTTCAAATGCAGGTTCCCAGGATGCACCCCCACTCCCAGAGGCTCTGATTAAGCAGATCTGTGGTAGCGTCACACAGTGTGCATTTCCAACAGTGCTGGGGATGCTGATGCTATTGGTCAGGACCATTCCCTGAGAAGCCAGATGCACAGTATTTAACATGGGAGCAACACCTAGTAGATCACCATATGTCACCCAGTTTACAAACACTTTTATTACTACCATTACTATTAATACTATTTAACACCTCTTGCAAATTATAAAATCTGCTGGAGAAAAAAATCCTGTGTGTCTTTCCAGTCCCTTCTTCTAGGAACCCACATGTGTGCTGACAATTTGGATTTCCAGTAGAGCGTGTTCAGCACCTGCTGATTTCCAGGAAACTTCTGCTTTCCAGGAGCCTTCTAACTTCACTTCTCTAACCCCTGCCTGCTCTATGCCACATTTAACACCATTTTATGGGTCAGGAAACTGAGGCATGGAGAAGTTGCCTACTGACTTGGGCCCAGCTGGAATAGGACAGAACAAAAAATATCTCAGGTTCTATTAAGTCTAGAGGCCCGATTAATTTGTCTCACCACTTCTCCATGTTATCCAACCACTGAGATTTTTGTTTCATTTTCCTGGAATGGCCTTTTATGTTCCCTTGACCTCATTGAGTGGTTGTTCTGACAAAGTGCAGACACTGCCTAATTGCCAGTGACTACTGACATACACTGTGATATGATCTGTGGTAAAACAAAGAAAGAAAGAAACAAACAAACTAAAGTCATACCGATGTCAAAGATTTCCTTGTGAACAGCATCTGGAACTTGAGGGGTCTTGGCTTCATCAATATGCTGATTACTGTACTCTGACATCACCACCCCAGCCCTCAGCACCTCTGGGCAGTAGGAGGCACTGGAGACAACCACAAAGGACCGTGCAGAGAGACTTTTGGACTCTCCAGTGCCCCGCGTAGAACTCCCAGCTGGTTTGCCCAGGAAAGCCCTGATTTAATTTAGTGTAATAACTCTCAGAGTATGTCTGTTCTATTGCATGCACACACTTGCCCTTTGGCAGCTGCCTGCTATCTGAGTACTTGCTGAAGATTTTGTGTCTGCAGTCAGGCTATAGAGGCACAAACAGCATGCATGGCAGGCTTGTGGCTGTGCTGAAGCCTGTGTGCCAGAGGTGGTTGCCTTCAGGTCTGCAGCAGAGTACAGAACCATACAGCTGTGGACTGTAAAGGAGAAAGCTGGTCTCAGCCTGGGAGTTCCCATGTGGAAAGATTTGGATACAAGCCCTGTGAAGGGCATTCGCCTCCAGAGATTTCTTCTCTTCTGTGATCATCCTCAAAACACAATGAAAAGAAGGACTGAGAGCTGGGGAACTCTGGGGTCCCTCTTTTTATTCCAACACTGAATGCAACCCCTACACTTTTGCTTTTGCCTCTGAGAGATATGATCAGAGGCCTCCACAGAAACTGCATTTCACATTCACTGTTGAACAAATAATTAGAATCCTCTTTATCATTGAAGGTATTAAACTTCATGACTTCTCAGGCCCAAGTCTAAGAGGTTCTTACCATGTGAAGAATAAAATTACTTTTTGAGAAATACTAGATTTTAAATGCCAGTCTGTGCAATTGTGGCTTTGATTTTTATTATAATACAATCTTTCAGACAAAGATGCTGTGCATAGTTTTTCCTGCTCCAGAGACAGAGGCTTCACCCTAGGACATGTGGGGCAGCCAAGATAAAGGACTGCCTCTCCATCTGGTCACATAGGCCACTTTTCCCTGTGCTCTCGCCTTTTATTCAGGGCTTACCCCCTCTAGGTACCCTGCAGATTTGTTTATGTGATGTCTACTCTCATCAATTTGAACAGGTAACACCTGTCCTAGTAGAATCCAAGATAAAAACAATCAATCCTACTCTAAAATTTGGCAATCAGAATAGAGCTCTGATGTCACTGGTGCCTGCCTGCGCAGGAGGTGAGGGTACAGGCTTTCCTTAGTGGGCTTGGTCCCAGGAGGCTGGGAGTGACTGACCCTCTTTCACCTTGCCGTGTGGGGGGACTGGAATGCAGAAGAGAGGGCTGATGTCATATATTCAGCTCATGGGAAAAGCCAGACCTGCCCATAGTGTGTGAGAAGCCAGTTCTCTTTGGTCCACCCTGACTTTCACTTTTGTAGTGAAATGACTCTGTCAACATGCAGTACATTCTCTAACCCAGGTTCCAGGTGCAGTGTACACAGGAGTGGGTCAGCTCTCCACCTCCGGGGTCTTCTTTGAGCATGTTCCACATATGGAGGGCATCTGTCCATATGCTTTCTCCAGGTCCCACCCTGGGTTCTAGTCATCAGCGTACACAGTACCCACATCTTCTCCTCAGGGTGCAGGCACACCCAGGCTTCGCTCTACCCCACAGCCACTCAGGCCCCTACCAGACAGGACAGTCTTGATTTTCAGCCCATGCTTGTGTCTCAAAAGAAGGGGGGGTCTTTTTTGTAGGACAAACTCACACAATAGATGTTCAGGCTGACCCTCCAGGCCATCCTTGGACATGGAGTAACCACTCAGCCTAACCTCAGCAGTGCAAGACTTTCCCATCACCCACTACCCCATCCATCATCCTCCAGAACCAAGACCACAGAGCAGTGCTGAGCAGGGCCCCACCTCATCCTGCAGCTTTCCTACCCCTGCTGAGAAGCGCCTGCCCTCAGGAGCACCCCTGCCAGTCAGTTCACTGTTCTCCTCTACTCCTCCGTGGTGTCAGGAAAGGAGGGTGGGGGCAGCCAAAAAAGAAAAGGGCCTAAAGGGGCTCTCACCAGTCAAACAAAACAGAATCAGTACTGAAGTCAGCAAGAAGCAGTGAGAGGCCACTGCTGGGCTGGGTTGGGCCAGGGAATTTATTTTCAAGCCAAGAGAAATAAATAAATGTTTCAAGCAAAAGACCTGCCAGAGTCAGCTGTTTGCAGCTTCAGCCCTAGAGTCCTAGAAGCTGGAAGGGGACCCCAGAACTGAGGGAAATTCAAGGAGCCTCGAGGACATCAATGAGCATGGTGTCATGCTCATCTTGGCCAGCCTATGGAGCTGCCTTTCTCTCTGTTTGGTTGGGATGATAGTGTGGGGTATGGTGATGCTGAAATCTCATGCTTTAATTGGCAAGTATAAACATCTTCCTTTGATTAATAAAAATGGGGACATCGGTTATTTCTGAAAGAATATTTTTCATTTGCTAAAGGAAATCTTTCAAAAGCTGGGTTCCATGAAGGCTTAACAAGGAGGATTCTTTGCAGTGAAAAAGGGCTGGGAACCAATATCCTTAGAAGCCCTGGATGAAGGAAAGCACAGCCACCAATTCCTCTAGCAGAACATTAATTTGGGATGAGTATACACAGGCTGTTGTGAAACTAGAATCTATTTTATATGCATGCACCTTTCATAAAGAAAACAAAACTACCTTCGTCTCCTTTCTCAGTAAGTTAGACGTCATCGCCCTGGGCACAGCGCTTCCAGCACTGGGTCAATCCTGCTGGCAGGGCCCAAGTTCCTACTCAAAGGCCAAGCTCCCCAACCTGTCTGCTTTTTCCAAGTGGACACCTGTTTCCATCACTGAGCCCTCTTCCTGAAGACTGTCCTCCTTGCCCCAGGGGTCACAGGCAGTCCTATGATAAAAATGAGGTGAGGTGGCCTTGACCTCCCAGGGTCTATTCTCCAACCATAAAGTATGGACCCCTCTGATAGCATGAGCTGAATGGCTTCTTGGGCTCTCCTCATCAGCCTGGGTTTGTTGTGTGTGTGTGACTGACAGAGAGAGGACTTACCTCATGGGACAGGTAGAAGGCCGCGATACCCAAAGGCCAGAAGCAGCAGAGCATAGAGAACACGCTGAGGCCCAGGTGGTCCCGCGGAGGCATCATGAGGAAGTTGTCCTCGCTTTCCGTGTCACTAGAGTAGTTGCTCTGCAAGAGAGAAACAGGTGGGGATGGAACAAGGGAAGAGAATTGATAAAGGAACCGCTCTACAATGCCCTCTGGACATGGAAGTGGAGGCTGGCATAAGGAGAAGCCCTCGGGGAGGTCACTGTTGTTGTGATTGCCTGCAAGTACTTCCCTCCAAAAGGAAACCCCCAGTGGAGGGAATTTTTACCAAGAACAGAAAGAGAAAAATCCCAGGTACAAGGCTCTTGAGTCATTCCACAGAAGATAAAATCCTACAGAAGCCAATCACTTCACAGATCTTTGGGATGAAGTGCTGGACAGTGGGGGTAAAGGTCTAATCTATCAGAGGATAGAACTGAGCACTCTCAGAAGGCACACATACATATGTAAATACTACTCTTTATTTTGAGACAGAAGGATTTTTGAAAAGCAGCTAAGATGATTCTAACACTGACCAAACCTCCCTGCAGAGGGCACAACAGTGCTCCAAGGTGCTAATGGGCTGGGTCCTGCCAATGTACTTCCATTTCTACATGCCTGAGTGGAGGATGCTTTTGTCCTTATTGCTTATCCCATTTGCTGGGTCCCCCACTGTGAATTTTCTCTCCTCATCAGCACATGCTACACTCACACTGAGTCATCCTAAACCAGGGTCACTCTATGTGCTTATTTTACTCCAGCTTTTGTTTCCTAAAAAGGAAATGGAGCGTTTCCTCCTGACAAAGAGGGTCATTAGCTTCCTAGCTCTCTTTGTGAGTGCGGGAGCTTGTTTAACAAGCGGCCTCCTATTGCAGGCTGGAGACATTCTGCACTAAACTGCAGTGCACTCTGGCAACTTCCTTAGGTGGCTTCAGAGGAATGTGGTCACTTGAAGCACCAAACACTCAGGTGGGTGCTCGACGTGAGCCTAACACCTACATGGACAAACTTTGCACCAGGACCACCCCAGCAGCCCACCTTCGTATCACCTCTGATATTCCTACTCAGACACAGATGAAACCCACAGGTGATGATGGTACCCTTTTTGATCTTGGTTAATTAAAATACACATAAAATGCCAAAAAGAGACTCTAATCAGTGTGCAGACAGCAGAGGTGCTGCAGTGAAATGATAGAAGCTTCATGTTAGGACTGTTTTTTTCTAGTTGATTGAGAGAAAATAGTGGAATACTGAAGGGCTCTCTCAAATCACAAGCAAGGGCCTTCTCTGGAGGTCTGATGGGATTTCGGTGACACACTGTCTACATAGCACCCATCCGCCTCAGACCTGCGGATCAGGGGCTCTGAGTCATCACTTCTCAGAGAGGGCTAGCCCCTTCTTGCTGGATGGGCACTGACTGTCTCTGCCCAGGTTAGTCAGGACCAGTAGTGAGTTTGGGACCACACAGCACCCCCTCCACAGAGCTGTGTCTATGAAATTTATATATTTTTTGTCTTGCATCATCACCTCCTATATGGTCTCCTCAATAATAAAGGAAAAAGAAAATTACCATTTTTATGTCTGTCAGAGAAGGGAACTAAACAGCTCTTAGGAATGCATAATTCATGAGTGAGATTCATGGGTGGAGACTGAGGGTTGGTTGGGTAAAGATGCACATGTGCCACCTGGTGGGAATTTAAAATATTTGATTTGAATGAAGGCTGTGCAGTGTTGCCAGGCAGGGTCTGAATGTCTTAATAGCTGCTCCTCTCCACAGACAAACAGCAGTGTCAACTCCGTGGTCTCCAAACCCATACTCTGGAAATAAGTTGTTGGGTTCACCGCTCCTTAACAAAACTTAGACAAAAGGTTTTTGTTCCAGAGACTTTATTGACCAGGCCTGGTGACTGTCTCTCTCTCTCAAGAGAAGAGATCAGCCCCTAAGTCTTGGCGGGTGAGGAATTTATAGCTGAAGCTGGATACAGAAGCAAAAAAAAAGTGGTTAGTGTGTAAAAAGGAAAAATAGTTAGTTTATCTTATTTTAACAAACTATAAAACATAGTTAGGTTATTATTTTTAATGAGCTAATACATAACTTGCTTATCTTCTTGATGGGCTATAAAACATGACTTGTTTATCTTTTCCTAACAAGCCATATACTTTGTTTATCTTCTTTTACTTTCTTGACAAGACAATTTGTTACGGTTTTTGCGGAAGCAGGAGCTTTTTAAATTCCTCTGGGCGGGGGTACTCTCCGAAATGAGCTTGCTTAGCCTAGGGTCTGGGCCTGGGTCCCTACAAAGTGACCTGGAGTGTCAAGGCTGTGTTGGAAAAGATGAACTGCACTTTGAAGTGCTCTCTGCATGAAGTTCTAGGAAAGTCTGGGAAGGAAGGAAACTACAGTGACAATCTCAGAGTGGGCCATGTCCAAAGATCCCACTTGGAGGCATGGATGACCAGGACTGAAAAGATAGCCACTTCTTCTAGCCCTCAATTCAGACCCTGAGCTAATGATCTTCATGCTGATGGGTCAAGATGCTGCTGGTGGGTATCCTCGCACATGTGCAACAACTCTGTCTATGGATATTTGTTTAGTTTTTGTTGTTGTTGTTCACAAAGTGTTTTATGTGTGTGTACCTGAGCTGGCTAGATTTTCACAGCAACTCAGTAAATAAAAAAATAGGTGCTGTTCCTATCTTTATTGTTATTTCTATTTTATAAAAAACAAAGCTGGGCTCTGAGAAATATTGCCAAATCACAGAACCACTCAGTCAGTGGCTGCTCATTCCAGAGCTCTCTACTGTGTGTTGTGTTTGGACATCAAAAACATGGCTATAAACAAACTCTGTTTTGCTTCAATTGCTTCTTATCCAAAGATAAGGTGCCTCCTCTGCCTCAGGGATTCTGAATACTTTGCTTCTTGAGTGGTCTGGTTCATGGTGGTGACAGGGAGGCCAGTGATGATAGTGGTCAGTTGAGAGTTTTCCCATTCAAATAGCCACTGCTGTGTGAACTGCTGCTCAGACCACATAGGAATGCTGGCAGCATTTACTTTCATTTTTGGAAGCTGCTTAGAATTACACCACTATCCCCATGAAACAAAGAGTTAGATTTCAGGGCACCATCTCGCCAAAAAAAATCTTTACAGATTTTTATTTAGAAGCATGAGGGAAGCACACTCTGTAAATTACAAAGTTGAGGCTACATGGCACCAAAACAATTAGTCAACTGGTTAAGATATATTTTAAAATAGATTCTGACAAATTACAGGACAGATGAAACAGCTCAGCTATTTTCATGTTCTTTTTTCCATTAGTGGGCTATAAGTGGCCATGGGCATCATGCCACCAAATAGCAAGAAGAGGAGATGAGCCTGCCTGGATGAGGCTATGTACACACCAATAAACCAAGTAGAGAAAATACCCACAACCACCACCACCAGGTGAAATTCATCACCCACAGCAGCTGTTTCTAAAATTTTTCTTCATGGGTTTTGGAATTGGAATATTTGCAAAGCAGACTGACAACATTCTAATAGAGGTTACAGCCTATGTGTAGGTCCTCCCTTTTGAGCTAAATCTTTGGAGGAGGCAAATGTTACAAAAAGCAGAGAAAATCAGGAACTCCTGGGTCCCTCCCCTGGTACCCTGCTGGTCTTCCTCCCTACCACCACAATCTGCCCATTCTGTGTCCTGTTTTCATTGTCTCCCCTCCATGGGAATGCACTTAGTCACCTCAGGGGTTTCTTCCTTGGGATACTTTAATAAAATAATCATAATGCCAGGCACAATGCCATGTTTCACAAGTCATAATTTCACATTCATTCAGCTCCATGAACAACTGCTGTGAGGGGGCAATTTTAGGGGTGGGAAACTGTGGTCAGCCATGTCACTTTGTCTCATTCAGGCCTTACTCATCACCCTATTACCTCCCTTTGAGCCTCATGCTGCCCTCTTAATTCCCCTTGGCCTTCTCTGCTTGCTAATTCTGGAGATCATCTACCTCTCTGCGTGAGTGAGAAAGTGCCGGACTGTTCCTGAAGCAGCCTGGAATCCAGGACTTCCTACAGAGGCTCTCTTTCCAAAAGCTCAGTCTGAAAAAAACATGGACATGCTTGTAGGGATGTTTGTTTTAGAGTGTTCCAGAGAGCACTGTTTTAAAACAGCAAAATTACAGGGTGACAGATACTAGGCTAGTTTCATTCTTTTGCATGAGGTTTCCCAATTCTCCCAGCACCGTTTATTGAAGAGGCTGTCTTTTCTCCATTGTATGTTTTTGGCTTCTTTGTAAAAAATTATCTGTCCATATTTATGTGGGTTTATTTCTGGGTTTTCAATTCTATTGCATTGGTCTGTGTGTCTGTTTTTCTGCCAATATCATACTGTTTTGAATATTATTGCTGTAGATAGATAAGCGATAGATAGATGATTGGATAAAGAATATGTGGTATATATACATAATGGACTACTATTCTGCCATAAGAAAAGATGAAATAGTGCCATTTGTGACAACATAGATGAATCTTGAGGTTATTATGCTAAGTGAAATAAATCAGACAGAAAAAGTCGAGAACCACATGATTTCACTGATATGTGGGATATAAAACTGAAAATAACAAAGTAACAAGACAAACAAATGAAGAAACAAAAACTCATAGACACAGACAATAGTTTAGTGGTTACCAGAGGGTAAGAATGGAGGGGGGTGATAGATAAGGGTAAACGGGATCAAATATATTGTGGTGGAAGGAGAACTGACTCTGGGTGGTGACCACACAATGTGATATATAGATGATGTATTACAGAATTGTAACTTGAAACCTATGTAACATTACTAACAATTGTGCTCCCCTATAAACTTTAATTTAAAAAAATACATACATACTTAAAAAAGCCCAGCAAAATTACAAAAGAATTCTACTTAAAATTCTGTACAGTCATGAAAAATGCTGGTGCAGATGTTTATTTATTGTCCTGAAAAGATTTTTATAATAACTGATGGGAAAAATCAGGGTAGAAAGTAGAATATATCATATTTCCTCCACAGTGTCAGAAATTAGATGCTTCTGGATGGTGGGCATATCGTTGACTTTTTTCTTCTTC